ATAATATTTACGAAAGCGTGAGGGCAGAGATCGAGGCAGAAAAGGTCAGTGTTATTTTAAGCATCACAATTTCAGGCCCACCCCTCTCAGAATGTTTGCTGAATTTTTTATCAAAAAATATTTTGTGTGCAGATTCAGCTGGGAGTTCCTGGCTGGTATTTGTCCTTGTACACAAGTCTCAGATCCCCTTAGCTCAGAAGCGCCTGGCTCATGCTCGGCGTGCGCTGGCGCCAAAATAGGCTTTTCGTTCCAGTGCCTGCGTGGGCGTCAGACTTTTTCTCGCTAAGCCAGTGAGGGGCTCTTGTTCATGCGGCCGAACACTAAAGTTCCTAAGTTTACCACTTTCATTGCGCACGCTTGCTACCTTAGCTGCTGTGATAGGTATGCCGTTGTCTGCCGAGTCACTGTTTATTAGTAGGTCCTGGTGCCGCCTTGAGAATCCCAGCTGATTCCTTTCCCGTCCTTGGCTATATTTCCTACATGACCGAGGCTGAAGGGCGAATTTTGATTAGAACATCAAGGATAGCTTCTATTGTAACTGCAAAGCACCGCCTTTTCCTGTAGAGTAGAGGGAGAAGTGGTGGGACACTTGTTGGCGTGCATTTTTTTGTTTGTGTTGAAAATAACATTTTGAAGGCTGTCTCAAGTCCGTCGCGTGCTACGCCTGAAGCTCCTAGTACGCCTCCCGTCATTACACTTGGAGTCGGCTCACCTGTAACAATAGTTTCTGCAGATGGAAAGGAGTACAAAGTAGTTTTGCAAGAAGTCAAGCATGAGCCCAAAACTGGATCGAAGAGAAAATCGTCAACTTCTGTAACGGTAAGTCAAAAGATTTCTTTGTAGAAAAGTTTCTCAGCATTGAGCTTTTTTTAGGAAAGTGCACCGAAACCCAAGCGTGCTCCTGGGATTCCGTTAGCGAACCTGTCGATCGAAGAAATTAACGCTCGTAAAAGGGAGCAGAACAGGATAGCCGCACAGCGTTATCGCGAAAAGAAGAAGAACAGTAAAGAGACAGAGAAAGAAGTGAGTATCGTTGTTTCCGGACATATCAGTGATATTATGGTTTATAGGCACGCCCCACGCAGAACCAAATGGTAGAAGGGATCGAGATGTACAGGGGGGGTGTACAAAAGCAGCTTCATATCACACATACCCGCTTGACCTCCCACATGAGGCTGCGTTTGCTTTTTGGGGCAGCGTCCACCAGCGTTCAGGAGCAGGAGTGGAGTGTATGGGAAGCGGGAGGGTAGCAGACTGCTGGTGGTATTAGGAAGTAGAAGGGAACAGACAGTTGGTTAGGAGTCATGAAACTGTGCAACCGCACTGTAATACTGTACAATAGCGTACATTCAATTGCACAATTCTGCGCTTTAGCAGGTGTACGATGTGCTTGCACTCGCCGCAATTTCACGACACCTAATCCAGCCGTCTGCTGCCCCTCCTTACCCAAGCTCTACCCCTCCTTACTCAAGCTCTATACTCCTGAAAGGTGATGGACGCGGACGTTCGCTAGATCCATATCTATACTTTCCTACTCGCTGACGAACGCTTTTTTGCTGTTTTAGGAGCAGGGCAAGTCGTACGTTCGGGATCCCCAGCGTGTTTGGTCGCTGGGAGGAGGGGGTTGTATTTGCTCTCAAGACAATGGCTTTTGTTGACTTTTCTCAATTTTCCTGCTCCGAGAACTGCCCCCCCCCACTCGAAGAAAAGCTAGGAAGTTGGGAAAATTCGGGTAGGTGGTAGTTAGGAT